CTCTCGCCCGCTACATGTCCAAGCCCAGCCTCGCCCACTGGCAGGCAGCCAAGGGCGTGCTGCGCTACCTGGCGGGCACCGCCAACTACGGCATCACCTTTGGCGCTGGCGGCCCCGGGCTGGAGGCCTACTGCGACGCAGACTACGCCGGCGACATCGACACCCGGCGCTCCACCACCGCCTACGTCTTCATCCTCAACGGCGGTGCCATCAGCTGGTCCAGCCGCCTGCAGCAGACCGTGGCGGCCTCCACCACCGAGGCCGAGTACATGGCGGCAGCCGCCGCCATCAAGGAGGCCCTCTGGCTGCGCACCCTGTTGGGCAACCTTGGCCAGCCCATCCAAACCATCCCCATGCTGGCTGATAGCCAGGGCGCCATCAAGCTGCTCAAGAACCCCGTCTTCTCCATGCGCTCCAAGCACATCGACGTCATCTACCACTTTGCCCGCGAGCGCGTGGCACGCAACGACGTTTCCTTCTCCTACATCAAGACTGACCACATGGTCGCCGACTCCCTGACCAAGCCCGTGCCGGCAACCAAGTTCGACTACTGCCGCACCGCCATGGGCATCACCCCCTGCAGTTGAGCAGTCTGCGTGGGAGCGTTGGACGGCGGGCCACCTGGCTGCACCAGCGCCCGCCAGCTGTCCAGCCTGCTCACCTACAGCACCCACCGCGTTGGGACGCGGCCAGACCGAAAGCCAGATGGCCAAACCGAAAGCCACGCGCCCCACACCCGCGCCAGCTGGCAAAACCCAACGGTCAGCTCCCCCGACCCAATGCCATCTGTCAGCACCCTCCAGCTGGCGGCGACATCTGGCAGCCACCCGCCATCTGGCCATTCTCCCATGCATGCATATAATCCCCTGCATTTCGCCTTGTTTGTCATTCTCTCCTAGTGCCCTTCCTCAGTGACTGCCCTCTGCAGTCAGGTGTAAAGCCCTTCTCTCACAACACGCTGCCATTGCCCTGTCAGCCTCAGCAGGGCCCCCGTGCCTGGGGCCACCCAGCAGCGGACGGGGGGGTGTCCTGAACACCAGGTGGAGCAGCCAGAACAGGATCAGCCGGCGCAGCCACAACATTAGCCGGAGCAGCTGCAGCACCAGCCAGGGCAGTGACAGCTCGCAACGCTGGGTGCTAGACACCGGTGCATCTTGCCACCTTACTCACGACTCCTTTGTTCTGCTCGACCCCTACCTGCTGAAGGAGGCCATCACCATCACCTTTGGCAACGGCGGCACTGGCAAAGCCACCACTGCCGGGCACGTGCTGCTGCACGCCCAACGGCCCCTTCATCCTGCGCGACGTGCTGCACGTCCCAGGCGCCGCCGAGCAACTGCTCTCCGTGCGGCAAGCCACGCGGCGTGGCCTGAGCTTCAAGTTCATGGCCGACGCCTGCAAGATCTGGCAGGGCGACCAGGTCCTGGCCACCGCGCCCTGCCACGGCGACTCAGTCTACACCCTGACGGGCCGGGCCGAGCAGGCCCACGTGGCGCGCGTCTCCAAGGAGAGCCCCCAACTCTGGCACCAGCGCTTCGGCCACCTGGGCTACGACAACCTGGCGCGCCTTCAGACCAAGGACATGTTGACGGGAGGTATTTACAAAGGCAGCAAGAGTAGTAAATTCGCACTAGAGGCGGCGTTAAATAGATATGGGGTGGAGGAGCATATTCCCGGCATATACTTGGGATATTCCTGATACGATGCGGGTACGATGCGGCACAAAGGCATCATGGTATCGGTGAGCATAATGGCTGGGCCAGGTGCACGAAAGGGAGTGGCACAAGTGTCGATCAACTGGGAATGGGGTGGGGAAACACAATTGTGCGGTGTCTGGGGCGGGAAAGGCGGGAATGAGGGTATCAGTGCAGCGGATGTGTAGACTGGACACGTGGCATTGTCACAGCTCAACACTCCCACGCAGGCTGCACAGCCGTTGCACTTAGGCAATGCCCATTGCGTCGCGGCAGAACTTGAACTTGTTGGTGGGCACGGGCTTGGTCAGGATGTCGGCGAGGTAGCGGAGCACATGCTTGGCTGCAGTCCAGTGCGTTGTGGTGGGCTTGGACATGTAGCGGGCCAACGCTCCCACGGCTTGGGCAATATCAGGTCGGGTGCAGGATGCCAGGTACATGAGGGAGCCGATGAGGGTGGAGTAGGGATGTCCCTTGGTGTCGAGTGGCTCGCCGTCGGCGGTGAGCTTGATGGCGATGCTGGATGGTGTATCGAAGGGCTTGGACTTCTCCATGTTGAACTTGGACAGCAGGTCAGTGGTATGGGTCTGGGTCAGCTTGATGGTTTTGGTGGTGCGGTCTCGGATGAT